TCCTTCCTTTTCTCCCTCTTTTCCTTCCCTCCCTCCCTTCCTTCTTCCCATCTAATTCCTTCCTGTCTTCTTCTCCATCCTTTCCTTCCTTCCTTTTCTTCCTCTTTTCCTACCCTCCCTCCCTTCTTCCCAATTCCTTCCTTCCTGTCCTTTTCTCTATCCTTTCCTTCCTATTCTTCCTCCCTCCCTTCCTTCCTTCCCTCCCTCCCTTCCTCCCATCCAATTCCTTCCTTCCTGTCCTCTTCTTCATCCTTTCCTTCCTTTTCTCTCTCTTTTCCTTCCCTCCCTCCCTTCTTCCCATCCAATTCCTTCCTTCCTGTCCTTTTCTCCATCCTTTCCTTCTTTCCTTTTCTCCCTCCCTCCCTCCCTTCCTTTCCTTTTCTCCCTCAATCCTTTCCTTCTTCCCCTCCCTCCTCCCTCCCTTTTTCTCTCTATCTGCCTACAAAATGTTTTTCATTTGCTAGAATTTCATACCAAGCCATCCTGGGAAATGAAGCCTTGCCTCAGGCCTCAGACATTCAATATTTAAAATATAAAAAGGTTTGGAACAGAGTAGCATCTGTTGAGCATCTGGAGAGCCGCCTCTGGAGTAACAGTGGCAAGTCGCTCCGTATTTATTTGTCTGCCAAGCCAATTTCCCTGCTGGCATCCATCACCATTCATTAACCACACAGTGCCTCACAATCACAGCCAACGATTGTGGGCTCTAATGAGGTTGTGGAATTTGATATGTGAAGTCGGAGAAGCAACACAAAAATCCGAAATCTCTCTCTATATAGCCTTCCTTCTGAACTCCTTCCCATTTTTTTTCTTCCCCACTACGGGGTAGTCCTCAACTTACGATCACAAGGGAGCCCAACATTTCCGTGGTTAAGTGTGACGTCCATTAAGTGTGTTTCGTCCCACTTTACGACCTTTCTGGCCACGTTCGCTAAATGAATCACTGCCGTTGATAAGCAAGTAACCTGGTTGTTAAAGTGAATCTGGCTTCCCCCATTTGACAGGAGGTCGCAGAAGTGGATCGCGTGACCTCGGGACACTGCGACCGTCATAAATATGAGCCAAGAATTTTGATCACGTGACCACGGGGATGCCGAAACAGTCATTAAGTGTGAATAACAGTCACAAGTCTTTTTTCAGTGCCGTTGTAACTTTGAAACGGTCACTAAATGAGCTGTTGTAAGTCGAGGAGTTCCTGCATTTCTTTTGGACAGCTAAGGAGGTGCAAAATTATCTTGTAAAACGATCGTCAAGACCCTTTCTCAACCAATGGTCATTCTACTTAGGGATGGGTTGTTTTCTGGATTCCCAAGAGAGTATCTGATAGGAAGGAAGGGAGGTGGAAGGGAAGGAAATATTACATTTTTATTTATTTATTAAATAAGATCTTCTAGTCCAACCCTCTGCTCAAGCAGGAGACCCTATGCCATTCCAGACAAATGATTGCCCAGTCTTTTCTTAAAATCCTCCAGTGATGGAGCACCCACAATTTCTGGTGGCAAGCTGTTCCGCTGGTTAATTGTTCTCACTGTCAGGAAGTTACTCCTTAGTTCCAGGTTGCTTCTCTCCTTGATTAGTTTCCATCCGTTGCTTCTTGTCCTGCCTTCTGGTGCTTTGGAGAATAGCTTGAGCCCCTCTTTTTTGTGGCAGCCCCTCAATATTGGAAGATGCTATCATGTCTCCCCTGGTCCTTCTTTTCATTAAAGTAGACATACCCAGTTCCTGCAACCGTTCTTCTTTTTTTCTTTGAGTTTTAATTGGGTTTTAACAATTAAACAATTCTTATTCAATTCTTATGCATGCCTGTGACCATTTATATATCATCACACTAATGTTCTCCTATACTCTATATAACTTTACAAAATCTACTGTTATTTCCCTTTTTTTCCTATCTTCAATTATACCATTTCTCCCATATTACGTAAAAGTCTGAATCCGTTCTTCATATGTTAAGAACAAGAATATAAAAAACACTAATAATAGTTAAAATATTTTTTTAAATGATTACAATAACTGTAATGATTTATATTGTTAAAATATATCCATCTAAGCAAAAAGGAAGAGAAAAATGGAATGATATTTGGTTAGGATCTAAGATTTAAGTAACGGGTTTTTGGGACAATGGCATAGTTAAGTTGATAGAATTTAGAGAAATAACCGAGTAAAATATTAAGTTGGAAGTTAAGAATTGTTAGTGATTTGTATTAATTTGTGACCGGATCAATGCTTCGTTTTGGAAAAGATGTGTTTTATGTTTGTGTTTTAAAAAAATAAAAACTTTTTTCCAAAAAAAAAGAATATAAAAACACTAAAAACGTGATAATAGCAGGAACAATAAACAAACGGGAGAAAACCTTTCTCAGTTCCAATGATGCATTAAACTCCTTAAATTAAAACTGACATCAAACCACGGTCTGTTCATGGGGGACTTTCTGTTCCCCCACGTTCTCCAACAAAAAACAGACAAGGCCTGTTTTGTTCTCTCTCTCTGAAATTCAAATGATTTTTGTCTGGAGGGTGCAGCTGAGATAAATGACATTTCTCTTTGCAGATGGACAATTGCATCATTTTTTGGAAACAGAAATGCTGTGTAATTCAAAGGCTGGGAGATTCCCAAAAAGATCAGAACAGCAGGATCCATGGTAAGAGGAGATCTAGTTCTCCCATGAAGCTTGAAAAATAACCTGCATCTGGGAATGGTCTTCTATTACAGGGAATCCTCGATTTACGATGACTCATTTAGTGACTGTTCAAAGCTACAACAGCATGGAAGAGACTTACAAACATTCTTCCCATTTACGACTGTTACAGCTTCCCCATGGTCATATGTGATCAAAATTCGGATGCTTGGCAACTGACTCATATTTATGACGGTGGCCAGTGTCCTGGGGTCATGTGATCAAATGGGGGAAGCCAGATTCACTTAACAATCAGGTTACTTGCTTATCAAAGGCAGTGATTCATTTAACGAATGTGGCCAGGAAGGTCGTAAAATGGGACGAAACACACTTAACTGATGGCACACTTTTGTGACCTTCCAACAAGCAAAGTCACTTAATCATTTGTGTTACTGACTTTTAACAACTGCAGTGACTCCCTTAACAATTTTGGCAAGGAATGGGGCAAAATTCACTTAATTTAGGAGCCTGAGTGGCGTAGGAGGCTAATGCCTCCTACTAAGGCAGCATTTAACATCCAGCTGCCTGCAATTACTGCGAGTTCAATTCTCACCAGGCTCAAGGTCGACTCAGCCTTCCGTCCTTTCTAAAGTGGGTAAAATGAGGACCCGGTTTGTGGGGACAATAAGCTGACTTTGTATAAAATATGCAAAAGTATGACGGCTATTGCTTAACGCATTGTAAGCCGCCCTGAGTCTCCGGAGAAGGGCGGCCTATAAAAATAATTTTTTTAAAAAAAAACTTGCTTAGCAACAGAAATTTTGGCCTCTACTGTGGTCATTAAATTGAGGATTACCTGAATAGCTATGCAGAAAATTTCTGTAGTTGTTGACTTACAACCACTCATTTAGTGACCGTTCAAAGTTACTATGAGACTGAAAATGTTACTGACAACTGTTCCTGGCGCTTACAATTGATGTACCATCCCCAGGGTCACAGGATCAAAATTTGGGTCGCTTGGCAACTGGCATGGTTTTTACAATGGGTGTAGTGTCCTGGGATCAGGTGATCACTATTGGCGACCTTCCAAACAGATCATGAACAAGCTAAGAAGGAAACCAAAAGACCAGAACACGTCCTCTCTAGCAGCCAACGCCCAGAGAAGCAGGGATTAACACCAGACAAACAATCAAGCAGAAAACAACCAAGAAGAAAACCACACCCCTGCCAACACGGGCAGGACAAGCTGCTAGGTATAAACAGGGAGCAAACCACACATTCACCAGCATTGATGCTGTTACCTAGCTGGGTCATGAAACAACTGCAGGAAAACAACCAAGCTTAGAGAGACCACAGTGTTGTGGCTCCGTTGCCTGAGCCTGGGCTATCGACAGATGCAGACTCTGAGAGTGAGGGAGAGGAGTTGGCAAGGCCTCCCTCTCCAGGACCCTCCTCTCTGGCAATGCCTCCGGAGGACACCGAAGGCCAAGAGATAGGCCCAGAGCCAAGCACGTCCCCGCAGCCACAGGTGGACAGCGACGAAGAAGATAAGTGCTGGCTGGACCCACGACAGAGGCGCAGGGAGAAGCGTGCGCAGCAGAGGGGAAGGCGTGCCAGAGATTAGCTGAGTCACTGGACCACACCCCACAGGGTATAAATGTGGGTGTGGTGGCCAGTTCAGTTTGTGACGAGCAAAAACTAGAAATAATCCATGATCTCTGTGTTACTGGACTTCTGCCTGCCTTGTCGGACTGCATTTGAACTAATCCTTGTATTGCGGAAACTTTGCCTGCTTTATCGGAATGCTGGCAGTCTAATCTTTGTTTTGTGTGAGTAAAGTCTGAATTGGCAGCTAGCCACTGGGTTGCTGCCAGCTTTATCTTCAAAGAGTTTTGTCGTGTGGCTTATTAATTCCGGGCCATCTGTGGGGGTGCGTGTGTGGGACGGGCACAGAACACACGGACCCCATAGTCTTCTTCCTCCTCTCTATAAACCCTTCTCCCTTCTATCACTGATGGGTGTTACCTGATCAGGTAATGAAGCTCAGAGAGCATCACGGAGCCCACTGTTCACTTCCTCCTCTCTACAAACCCCTCTCCCTCCTAACACTGATGATGTTACCTAGTTGGGTCATGAAACGTCTGCAAGAGAACACCAAGGACCCCACAGTTCAACCCTGAGCTACAAATATTCTCTTCTATTGATTATGATCAAGCCCCTTTGATTAGGTAATCAGAAATAAGAAGAGAGAGAGAGAGAAAGAAGATAAGTTTAAATGTCTCAGTGGTACTATCCCATCAAGCATGGTAGAACTTTCAAATTCATCTCTGAATACGGAGAACCCCAATAAATTTCAGGACCTGTCTTCCCACTTGGCCTTACTTTGGGTCGCTTCCATTGGATCCCCTGAATCCGAGACTTGTAGAAGAGCGAGTCATCGTTGGCTGGAAAGAGCGGATCTTCAAACAAGATTTTCTTCCTCTGACAGTCCTTCTTCAAAGTTGAGTAGCGCTGGTTTTCATATGGCTTCACTGATGAGAACATTCTTCCCGGTCACCCCTAGAAGGACAGAAGGCAAAACCTCAACAACAAGACTCACAAGCAACAGACAAAAAACCCTGATCCAACCTTGGACGCTGCACTCCAAGCATGTCCAGAAGGTGACAAGTTGGAGAAGATTCCAGCCGACCATGACGAATTAAGACGATTAATTAAGACGATTAAGTTAAGACGATTTTGGACACCAAACTAGAGTTATAATTTCTTGATAGTGAGAAAAATTTATCAAGAGGACTTCTAGGACCTCTAGAAGTTGTGGGTGCTCCAACACTGGAGGTTTTTAAGAAGAGATTGGACAGCCATTTATCTGTGTTAGAAATTCTGTATTTGGCCTACAGAACAAACACTGCACTGTCAACATGTGCTTTTCTGCTTAACTGCGAGAAGGAAAGCATATGTGAACTGTGCACTGTTCGTGCAGAATTTCTAACAGCTTATGGGCTACAGTCATAGCCGGCTACAGCAAATAAGTGCATGATACAGAAAGAGAACGAAGGCTGCAACAGAATAAAAGAAAATGGCCAGTAACACAGCTACAACAAAGCTTTCATTTGCAAAACTAACAGTCTGAAATGTCTTCAGCAGGGGGTTGGACTAGAAGACCTCCAAGGCTCCTTCCAACTCTGTTATTCATGTAAAATTTGTATTGCTAGGCAAGCCAGAAGTTCACGGATCTGGCCACGATGCCCACAAATGCTGGGATGACAACTGGAGGAACCAGCTTGGAGAAGACTGACCTAAAACAGGAAGATTTTTGGCTGCCAGAGTTGGCCGCTGGACAGTGATAACTTCAAATGATGATCTCCACTGAGCAAACATCTGGGAGGATAGAATTATCAGAACAGCTCCATCAGTGGTGGGTTGCGCTCAGTTCAGACTGGTTCTATAGAACCGGTAGTAAAACTGGCGGGAGGTTCCGCCCACCAACCCCGACATCATCAGCAAGTTTCTGCGCATGTGCAGAAGTGTGAGCGCAAGAGCGAACCAGTAGTAAAGGTAAGTATAACCCACCCCTGAGCTCCATATAACCAATTTTGTTGTGTACATGATGTACAGTGACAATAAGGGCTTTGAACTTTATATGCTGGCGAAATAAAATCATTAATTCTTATTTCCAAGGACCAATGCCAGCTTCTTAACCACCAATTCCTCCCTCCTGTTAAACCGCAAATAGTTTCCTCATTCTTTCATTCATGTATGCTTTGATATTCTCACAGCAGCTAAGCAAACTAAGCTAGAGCCAACACCTGTAGCACACAAATCAACTAAAGCCTTCCCAAACATGAGCCAGGACTGTGCAGCAGCTGCCAAAAAAGCCAACACAGTTCTGGGCTGCATAAACAGAGGGATAGAATCAAGATCACGTGAAGTCTTAATACCACTTTATAATGCCTTGGTAAAGCCACACTTGAAATACTGCATCCAATTTTGGACACCACGATGTAAAAAAGAGTGCAGAGAAGAGCAACAAAGATGATTAGGGGATAAAACATACAAAGAATGGTTGCAGGAATTGGGTATGTCTACCTTAATGAAAAGAAGGACTGGGGTGACATGGTAGCAGTCTCCCAATATCTCAGGGGTTGCCACAAAGAAGAGGGAGTCAAACTATTCTTCAAAGCACCTGAGGGTGGGACAAGAAGCTATGGGTGGAAACTAATCAAGGAAAGAAGCAACCTGGAACTAAGGAGAAATTTCCTGACAGTTAGAACAATTAATCAGTGGAAAATTTTGAAAAGTGAGATTATAAAAGCCCAGTCTAGCACAATACCAATGAAGAAGAAAAATAACAGCTCTCAAAAGAAACCAGCATGGCTGCATAAAGAACTCTCTGACAAATTGAAAGACAAGAAGGACAAGTATAAAAAGTGGAAAGAGGGGCAAATAACTAAGGCAGAATATCAGAAACACAGCTACAACAAAGCTTTCATTTGCAAAACTAACAGTCTGAAATGGCTTCAGTGGGGGATTGGATGAGAAGACCTCCAAGGTCCCTTCCAACCATCTCATCTCATCTCATCTCATCTCATCTCATCTCATCTCATCTCATCTCATCTCATCTCATCTCATCTCATCTCATCCCTTCCCTTCCCTTCCCTTCCCTTCCCTTCCCTTCCCTTCCCTTCCCTTCCCTTCCCTTCCCTTCCCTTCCCTTCCCTTCCCTTCCCTTCCCTTCCCTTCCCTTCCCTTCCCTTCCCTTCCCTTCCCTTCCCGACTACCTCTGCATGATTAATTTTGTTCTATGCCTGCAGCCATGATGCTCTTTTCCAGTAACCTAATTTAGGAGAAAGGAACAAAACAATATTAGAAGACTTAAGAGCTGCTTTTTAAAAAGTTGGAATCAGTAACATTTCCTGATTCAACAAAGAGCATTAGTGATTCCTAATCGCTTCTTCTCTATCCTGGATGAAATCCAGCAATCTCAGTTGTTGGCCAACAGAATGTCCCTTTCAAGGAAGAAAAAAAAACATTTCTTGCTTGGACCTCCTTCATACTGGAATCATAACAAGACAAAACCACAAAGGAAAAAGAAGATGGAACAGATATATTTTAACAGATACATTGCTATGTCTAATAATCTAATGAAAAGGACTAGGGGTGACATGATAGCAGTCTTCCAATATTTGAGGGGCTTCCACAAAGAAGAGGGAGTCAAGCTATTCTCCAAAGCACCAGAAGGCAGGACAAGAAGCAACGGGTGGAAACTAATCAAGGAGAGAAGCAACCTAGAACTAAGGAGAAATTTCCAGACAGTGAGAACAATTAACCAGTGGAACTACTTGCTACCAGAAGTTGTGAGTGCTCCAATACTGGAGGCTCTTAAAAAGAGACTGGATAGCCATTTCTCTGAAATGATGTAGGGTTTCTTGTATGAGAAGGGGTTAGACTACAAGACCTCCAAGGTCCCTTCCCACTCTTGATATATGTTCTTTACAGAAAGCACAGAACATTTATTTGATTGACTGCCATTGGGTGGCAAAGATTTGCCCACCTATATGGATAATTTGAAGAGTCCTGGGCAAATTCAGGGAATTTGCAGATTGCCGTCATTTTTTAGGATTGAATCAGCTCGTCCCCGATTTAATTCTCTTCCTTTTCCCTTGACTTAATTAATTAGGCTGCTTGGATCTAAGCCAAAGGTTTCCTGATAGATTACTTTTTCCCAGCAGGAAATGGCTTCACAAGGACACGTAAAACTTTCTCCACCCCTCAGTGAAATCATTAACAACTGGCAGTGATTGGTTTAACATCTGTGGCAAAAAAGAATTGTAAAACTGGGCACAACTCACTTAACAACTGTCTTGCTTAGCAACAGAAATTTTGAGCTGAATTATGGTTTGCTAAGCGACCAGTCGTTAAGTCGAGAACTACCTGTACTGTTTATTCAGTTAATGACCAGCAAAAAATTTTTAAAAAATTGCAACAAAAAAGGTAATGGAACAGAGGAAATAAAACAAGAGGTAACAAAGATAAAGTAACAAAATGTAACATGTGTTACTATAATGTTATTAACGGAAAAAACGGAATTGGAAGGCAGGGTTAATTCCCTGTGCCCGCGTAAATCTAAAATATTACATTATGAAGTAAAAATACATATTACAAGGTAGCTAGCACGTATTAAGCGCGAAGAGATGAACAGAACAGAAGCAATTATTCCTGGGCTTTATTTTCAATGCGGCAACAAAGAATTTTGACTCCTGCGCAAGCGATAAAAGGATTTTGCAATCTTCTAGAAGACCGTTCACACCTGACATGGTCTGTGCTGCCAGGAAATTTACATATTGGGGGCAAAATAGAAGCAGACCCCATATCCCTGTAAAATTGGACAACCTAAATAATACATGCAAAATGTATGTTAATCTCCTTGTCAGCAGCTGCGCAGACACTTTCAGCTAAATGGATTTTTTTGGGGACTCTCGTTATCTACTTTGCAGCAATGCAGATGGTTAAAAAAAAGTGGCTGCAGGCCCTTGCAAAAATTGCTAGGTAATTATAATTGGGGCATTATTCATTGTTAATTGCCTGCGTTAACTTTTAAAAGTAACATTAATTAAAACGTTGCAAGGGTGAGTTAAGTTTGCACTGGCACTATCCATTTCTAAGTGGTCAATGGTCCACCTTTCTAACTCTCGGTGGGTTTCAAATCCAATTTTTTTTACTACCGGTTCTGTGGGTGTGGCTTGGTGGGCAAGGTGTGGCTTGGTGGGCGTGGCAGGGGAAGGATACTGCAAAATCCCCATTCCCTCCCCACTCCCGGGGGAAGGATATTGCAAAATCTCCATTCCCACCCCACTCTGGGGCGAGCCAGAGGTGGTATTTGCCGGTTCTCCAAACTGCTCAAAATTTCCACTACTGGTTCTCCAGAACCTGTCAGAACCTGCTGGATTTCACCCCTGCTCTCTACCCCCCCACTCCAAAAATGTGCACCCTGCAACAATGAACAATAGATGTGGTGGCCCATTTCTTCACTCTATTGCTTCCTAGAGCAGAGTTAAGACGTGTGGTTAAGATGTGCGGACTTCAACTCCCACAATACCCCAGCCAGCCATCAGATTGGTCATGTGACCAGTCTGTCTTACAACTATTAAAACATACATGCAGTCCTTGGACTTACGACCACAATTGAGCCCAACATTACTGTTGCTAAGCAAAATGTTTGTTAAATTAATTTTGCCCCATTTTACAACCTTTCTTGCCATGGTTGTTAAGCGAATCACTGCACTTGTTAAGTTAGTAACACGGTTGTTAAGTGAATCTGGCTTCCCCATTGACTTTCCTTGTCCGGAGGTTGCAAAAGGACACTGCAACCGTCATAAATATGAACCAGTTGCAAAGCGGCCAAATTTTGATCACATGACCATGGGGATGCTGCAATGGACATAAGTGTGAAAAATGGTTGTCTTTTTTTTTCCAGCGTCGTTAACTTTGAATGGTCACTAAATGAACTGTTGTTAAGTTGAAGACTTCCTGTACACCGTAGTGGGCAGGTTCCATTGTGG